CCCCCCCCCCCGACAAAGGGACATTGTCCCATATTGGAAGAGAAAGAAGTTTTTGATGAGTATATAAGCAATTGCTTTTCTTCTAGCTCTTAAAGAGTTGAGAAGTAGGCAAGCCTCGCGCCGTCGTCGTCGCTCGCTCTGCTCGGCTCGGCTTCGGCTTCGGCGTTGGATTCGGATTTGGTCAAATGATCGATTGATTGATTAATTTTTTGGATCAAATTTATTTGCTAATAGTAAATATTAACAGAATTGTTATTAAATATATGTTTTAATAACAGAATATTAGTCTTCCCTCTATAATTCCCGGTTTATTATTGCATAAATTAGCCATTTATGTTATAGCATTTATGCTATGGCCGTTTTGCATAAACAGCCATTCTGAAGAATTGCACCTCTTCAGTTTTCAGCCCAACATTGGCTATAAATACAAGTCCATTCTCTCAGAATCTTTATACGATTTTCCGAGTCCTCCTCCTTTCTTCTGTATACTCTTAACATCAAAGAAAGCAACAGTAAGTGTGATTTGCTAGCGAACTTTGTGTTTGTTGAAACACTGGAGTTTGAAGTACCACTACACCAGTGTGTAATTCGTTCTATCCTGGGAGGACGATCTGTATAATGTCTACAGTGGCGTGGAGACGTCAAAAGAATTGTGGATTGCGCTTGAAAAAAAATGTAAAACTGAAGATGCCGGGTTGAAGAAATTCGTATTAGTACATTTTTAAGGCATCCTATTTTTGTTGTCTGCATAAAATATACACACATAAGTTATGCGACAATTTATATTTATTTTACGCGGAGCAAAATGTGAAATAATAATATGAATATCAATAATACATAAATGAAAATTAAAGGAATTATCTAATAGAAAGTAACCATTGCATTATAATCTCTTCATTACAATTTTTCCATTATAATCCTTGAATAAGTACATTATATGTGCTCTTTTACATGGAAATTATGCTGATATATTATTTAACTACTATAATCATATTAAACTAACAAGGTTCATATATTTACCTAGTCCAAAAAGTCGTTGAATTTGAATCCAACGTGTAGGTAATCTTTCTTTTCTTGTTTTCAAGTTGTTCAGTTTTAACTAGAAGGCTAAATGAAAGGTTCTTTTCCTTTAATTTTTGGGTTGGGGTTGAAGAAAGGGAGAATACATTGTGTAAAATCCTTAATTTATCTAAAGCAGCTCAAATTTCTTTATTATGATAAGCTCTTGGTATGTAATACTTTAAGTCACAATCCCATAGACATTCAACCAAAAATCTTCCTTTTTACATAATGCTGATGTCCAAGCCAGGGGCGAATTTAGGGGCGGGAGCGGTTTACCCGAACCCCTATCACCGGAAAATTACACTATATATATAAGGCAAAATCCGTTTTATGCCTCTATATATTATATTTTGAATCCCCTTAACACAATCCAAAAGTATAGTTTAATGGTCAGGGAGGATCAAAATCATTGTGAGGTTGCCCGTTTAATTCCAATTGGTCACAGTCTGTTTTAAAATTTTTAACTTTTTTTTTGAACCCCTTAGCGAAAGGCGACTGGATTCAAGCCATTTTTTCCCCATTTCGACTATGTCTTTTCGCAGGTAGGCCCTCTACCAGTACAAATATCAGATAACTTTTTTTATCTATCCCGTCTTCAATTGATAAGTGGGATTTGGGAAAGGTAGAGTGTACACAGATCTTACCCCTACATTTAAAAAGACAGACAGGTTGTTTCCGATAGACCCTCGACTCAGGAAAGACAACAATATCAACACATATGCATATACTTGCCTTATTGAAAAGGCAGGATGTAACATACCAAAGTTAAAGATAGCTGATTCCTTTACTTGAATATTGTTGTAAAATAGGCTGCCTTACTTAACATAGTTGCTCTTTTTATTTGAATTCAGTTGACAACATTAAGAAACTTCAAAAATAAGGAAAAAGATTGAAACTCTTCATTTGGCATCTCAGCCTCTTATATTTGATACTATAATTTGATTTTTCAAGTCTTCAATTGGTTGCCCAAGTCCTTCTATAACCTGAAAGAAAAACCAATGATCATCCAATTTCTGTTTCCAGCAACAATTAAAAGTTTTGCAATTCTTTTATACTAACCGATTTCGTGTCCTTAAGAGCAGCTTCCAATGCCTGGATTTTCTGTACCATAAAACTAGTAAAGATTTATTATAGTAAAGAGAATGAACCAGGGCAACCCGGTGGACTAAGCTCCCGCTATGCGCGACATCCAGGGAAGGGCCGGACCACAAGGGTCTATTGTATGCAGCCTTACCCTGCATTTCTGCGAGGCGTTGTTTCCACAAAGAGAAAGAACCAGGAAGAGGGAAAAAACATGAAAAGAAAATACTTACTGTTTTTGTGTCATTTACAACACTTTGAAGTGTTAGGATCTTCTGTAGAAATGGCTGATTAGTAAGTCTTGCTACCTCAAATGTATCATTTCTTGATGGAGTGACATCATAAACATCCTTAATATGTACATTATCCTGTTGCATTTACAAAGCTCGAGATGAGACCCTCGAATCCTAGATATTTTTATGTGATTTTTGTCACACTTGTTATCAGGAAACTACAATTTTGCTTACAGTAACACCACCAGAGGCGTCTTTTGCAGCACAACCGTTCTTTTTTTCATCGCCATTCTCCTCTTCAGCTTCAACCATTGCCTACAAAAAATGTGACTTCTATGACTGGAAACATGTACTTTGTTTAATTTGAATCATAGCAACAGGTTAAAACCTGAAGTATAGTTGTAACGGCAGGGTCATTCCAGGGTCCTTTGTCGCTAAAGAGGCAACCTCCATAGTCGGAACATGTGCAGTCGCCACCAAAGAAAGTTGGAAGGTTACTGCGCGGAAGCAATTTCATGCATCAGAACTCCTACAGCAACCTCAGATACGTGTACGTGCATCCATTCATGCTTAAACATAAATTGGAAAAATGTTGAGCTGCTTAATATTTACCTGGGATCAATAACTTCATGTAAGGTCTTCGTGTAATTGCTACCAAGAACCTGTAATTGTGGTATACGCCGTAAAGTAAAGTCTTATTTTCTTCCCTGGTTGGCCTACATTACTCCAGAAACATTTGTTAAAGGAAAGGGAAGGAAAGTACTTGAATCTTTGCTAGGGTGCGTAGATCAAGAAATGTCCTGATTGCTTTCCATAGGACCTTAAATCCAGATCCAGCATTAATGATAAAAAGGCGATGCAACGTCTGCAAAAGCGAAGATGATGAAATGGAATTAAAGGTAAATCATTAAGAAAAAGATTAATCAACAAAAGCTTCAGTTTAGTAAAAGAAACCATGAAGAAAGAAAGCTTTGGAAGTTCATTAAAAGTTGATCAACCATAGAATATGAAACTGTGTTTAGTACAGATTAAGGTCAGTATTAAGACTAACCAACAATAGACTTCAAGTTAAGATAACTCAAGGGAAGGAGAAGGATATTACACTTAAATGATCAGAAAATGATACTATTCTGTCGACGGAGATTCAAGTAAAACATAAGGGAATTTTACAGTCTAACTTGATCGTCAAGAATGTATATTTGACTTGCACCATGTTAACATACCTCTGGATAATAGTGACTGTCAATCCTCTGAATTTCCAGAAAGAGATATCTCGCAGGCTTTGAAAAATTAGAAATTCCCTGTCAAAAAAAGATACGTTTCTTAAGCTTATAGGAAAGAATCTAAGCATCAATTTGCTATCAGCAATGCTGAATTCTAACTTTAATATGCAGAATCTAAGTTTTATTTATTGAACTTGTGCATGGTAAGTTGTCATCAAAGAAGTTCTAACTTTTCTGAAGTTCATTGAATGAAACTCTTATAACTGACATAGTGAAACAACATAAGTACATTCAATTATATTCACAAGCTGATCTCCAACAAGTCAACCATTTAATATGTAAAATTCATAACAGGAGGATGAATGTAGAATCAAGTAAAAACCGTTGCCAATTCACATGAAAAATCCAACTTTAAGGAACTATCGCACGGATACATATATATATCCATAGATCAAATTATTATAATTTGTTTCAACGCGTTGACATAGATCAAATTATTTTATTAAGATAGCTTAGGAAACCAATCCAAACAAAACATTCAATAAACTATGAAATGGATAAGGGGTTGTCAATATATTATGCTTCTTACTTCATATAGCTGAAAAAGGATAAGATATAATATGAGGCTTACTGAATTGTTAATACCATTTGACAGCAAGGTAGAGATAAATTAAGGCAAAGTAAAATGCAGTGGTATTGAGATAAGAAAGATACATTCATATCCCATGATCCCGGTTTTGGTTGAGATTCAGTAAATAGTATTGTTACTCAACACCTATAAATCAAGCTAGCCGAGCTGCAAGCCTCAAACTGAAGAATATAGTACAGACATGGACTAGCACTTGATCACACACAAAAGGGTGCAAATAGGCAGCCCGGTGTACTAAGCTCCCGCTATGCGCGGGGTCCGGGGAAGAGTCTGACCACAAGGGTCTATTGTACGCAGTCTTACCCTTCATTTCTACAAGAGGTTGTTTCCACGGCTCGAACCCGTGACCTCCTGGTCATATGGCAGCAACTTTAAAAGAGTGCAAATATTTTGTTCTTATCAAATAAGCGAAAGATAAAATGGTAGACAAGCAGATTTTTACCACATCCTTCACATCCAAGATGCTGACAGTGGAAGCGATATGCTTCTTTGCAGCAAGTGAACAAGCAGGGTATCTCCAGTTCAATGTTTTCTCTTGTTCAGTCACATGATATTTCACAAATCTCTCAATACTAGTTACTTCAAGGAGCCTATTGAGATTTACCATTCCAATTCTTTCAATGTAAACTGGTCGACCATATCTATCGACTCCATGAAATCCATGTGGATAACACTTTTTAACCTCATTAAATTCCTCAAAGTTAAGTTCCTGCAGCATGATTCGACCCCAAAAATTACAAACAATCAAAGGATTATCGAATATAAAGGAACTTGTCGATAAAGTTTAAATAAATGTAGGAAATTCCCCAAACCATAAATTCTTCAAGCATAATGTAGCTCACCTCAGAAAGTGCATCGACATGAAACTCCTCTCGCCACTTCAGATAGTTCAAATACATATTCTTCGCTTTTGTAAGATCATAGTCCCTCATTCTAAGAAATCTGTATATCACAAATAGGAACAGCAAACTCAATTTCTGTACTCTTTTCTAACTGAAAATATTCGCCTTACAAATTTTACTGGATTGACAACATGATAAAATTTAACAGCACAAAACATACCTTAAAAGTGTATGATAGTCACTGTGTTTTCCTGGCAGCTGACCCTCAAGAAAAAGCAACTGACGAAACGAGTCAACAATTTGTTCATCTTTAGGCTCATGTGATCCTTCAAGAATTGTTCGTAGACTTTTGCTCTTTTGAACTCCCTTCTTTAACGACAACGACATAATGGTTTTTAAGGTTCTCGATCCGGTAGACTTCTTGTGCTCTTTTGTTGGAGGTAACTGCCAAAATGTTTCAATAGGGGGATGGAGAATTTTGGCCTTCTGTTTAGTAGATTGGCTTTCCTTAGAACTCGAAGATCGTTTGCTCCCTCTAATACCAGCGGAAATTAATATTTCCTTTAAGGTTTCTTTTGATGTTTGCATGTGTGGCTACTTAAACTGTAAACAAACAACAATAGAATAACTTTTCAATTCGTGAAATCAACTAAACAAGGCTCTACTAAATTTATTGACAAGCAAAAGAAACACTTCATTGTAAGTGTATTCAACATTGCTGGACATGTTCCGCAACAACTATACCTCAGTTCCAAGCTAGTTGGGGTCGGGTGTATAATCCTCAATATCATGAATGTTCTGTTTAGGTCCATAATATTTTAATTCTCTATACTTAAAGATTATCTAATACTAGGGGATTCTTTAATTAATTTACTCTTGTGGATTTATCTCTAATACACTAGTGTTCTAATAAGCACTAGTCTTCTAGTTGATATCAGCTATATTAATTTTCAAGTTTTACATTTTTTTCCTATAGTTTGCTAGATTTGCCTGCTGGATTCTGAGATATTCTATATCTTTTGAGATAACTTGTTTCAACGTAATTTTTGGTGTACCTCTTTCCCATTTAACACCTTCATTCGTCATGCTTTCATACTTGAGAACCGGTACATCTGAAGGCCTACGTAACACGTGACCGTACCATCTCAAACGACATTCTCTCATTTTTTTCCTCTATATGCGCTACTTGACCTTCTAACGGATGTGATCATTTATGATCTTATCCAATCTTGTATCACCGCACATCCAACTTAACATTGCATCTCCGCACAGTACTCATCGTATAATATGTCAGGCTTTAGAGGCCCAGGGAATAAATCAATAGGGGCCTAAATCAAAGAACCCTCGGAACACGGATATCAAAACCTAACTTAACAAGAAAATTTACAACAACAACAGATCCAGTGTAATCCACAAGTGGAGTCTGGAAAGGTAGTGTCTATGCAGACCTTACCCGTATTTTTAAGAAGACAGAAAGACTATTTCTGGTAGACGCTCAGCTCAGGAAAGATAAAAGGAAGAAGCAACAACAAGCACAAACCAATCAGAAACCGAAGCGAAAATACAAGACTAACATTAAGTAATTACAAAACCAAAGCTAAAATACAAAGTAATGAATATCAATTACAAAACAGATTATTTTTCTTCTCTCTGGGAACTGAATTAAACAAAACACTATAGGGTCAAAACAAGAAAAATACAATCAAATTTCAAGAATATAGAAATGAGAATAGAAATCAAAAGAGAGAACTTACCTATAAAATTTGGAAAAGAATGAAGAATCCCAAAGAAGGGAAGAGAATGAAGGGATTGAGGAATGAAGAGAAAGAGATAAATTGGGTGCATTTGAGCTAATTGAATGGGTGAAATTGTGAACAACAAATATGCCATTCTTTTTGTGAAAATTGGAATGAAATTATTTTCGAATGTTTGATTTTCAAGAAACCCCGGGAAATCACATGACAGCTAACTATAGCTTAACTATTTTTAGTAACATTTAATATTAGTACAACAAACAAGGTATAATATTTAGTATTAGTACAACAAAAAAGGTAGAATTTGGGTTAGTAATGATAATAAACAATGAATTAACCATTCACGTTAACAAAAAGCAGAAAATACCTTTTCTCAATCCGAGAGAAATGCATATTCTGATTCTGAAACGTGTTACACTAAGGAAAGTAGGAAACTGTTTGTTTTTCTTTAGCTACATGCAATTTGCAAAAAAAATAGCATTAAAATTGTAAAAGAACTATTAAGTAAATCTAGCTTCCTTCTTTTTCTTCAGCCAAGTTAACTGGAAACTTTAGATCCAATAAAATTGTAAAAGAACTATTAAAAAAAATATTATGACTATGGGTGTAAGTCATTCAAGTTCATTCAAAGTAGTTAATTGTTCGGAATGTTCATTCAAGTTCACCGAACACTTTAGTCCCTGTTTGGTCATATATTTTGTCTAAGTTTATTCCAAAAAAAATTTGGCAAGACATGTTTGTTTATAGATTTAGCGGAATGGCTTCCTGACCACTTAGACTTGTAAGCATTTGAAAGCCGCTACATGAACTTTAAACTTTTGCATTTGAATACTCCAACTTGACGGAATGAGTATTAATAAATACATCCAGTAATGTATGTATATCAATTACACTGACATGTACAACACGTCATATACTAGACTATTTATTACTTAACATGTGTTACTTATGGTCCTATTTTTAAATCAATAATCAGCAAAAAAGAAGTTACAAATTAGAAAAAGAAAGAGAGGAAAAAGACTCTACTACCCCAATAACTCGTATCCACCTATCTCACTTCTTTTCCGTTCACCCACCTCCATTCTTTTTCTTATTTTTATTCTTCTTCTTGCTCTTTTCTTCAGTGTTCTTTCTTTCTCTTATTTCTAAATCAAATTCACAACACCACTATGCTCAATGGTTAAACTAGAAAAAAAAAATCATTTTGGAATTTCAGAAAAAATCAATAGGAATCCATGGTTTTGAAACAACGGAGGCCGCCCGATACTATTGCAAATATCTGCCCTTTTATGTGTTTTGACAAAGATGAATCCGATGATAGGATTTTCTTCAGATCACCGGTGGTTAGAGTGGTGAGTGCTTTTTGACCACCAGAAAACTCCAATCTTCATAACCCCATTTTTTCTATAAACTCCACATAAGATATAAGTAAAACTACACAATCTTCATATCGAATTTAGCCGGAATTAAATTCTCTGATGCACTCTCTCTCCTCGCTTAAGTTGAAGAGAAGCAAGAGAGCGGAAATGAGTACTGACACGCTAGGGGTCTTTTTACTCCTTTTCTTTTTCATTTTTTAAATTTTTTTCCCTATTGATCAAGTATTTTCTTTAATTAAGTTATTGCATTCACGCGTATTTTCTGCGTGATTGACACGCATTTGTCCACATCACATTTGTCACTGCCACATAGGTATGGTCAGCGGACAAATGTATTTATTAGTCAAGGGAATCATGAGTTGGAGTGTTCAAATGGGAAAGTTTAAAGTTCATGTATCGGCTTTCAAATGTCCTACAAGTCTAAGTGGCCACGAAGCCGTTCCGCCTATAGATTTTTTTCATGTTTTGGCAGATTTTGAAAACAAAATTTTCAATCCCAAAACTAGCTCTAGACCTATTTTTGGCCCAAACTCCAAAAAGAATCATGGAATTCTAGTATAATATATTCCAGCATAATATACTGGAGTTCCAGCATAATATACTGGTCCAGCATAATATGCTGGAAGTTCATACACAGGTGCTCCAATCTCCAGTATATTATGTTGGAACTTTTCGTGTGTTGGAGTTCCAGCATAATATGCTGGAAGTTCATACATAGGTGTACCAATCTCCAGTATATTATGCTGGAACTTTTCGTGTTGCAGAAAAATAGGGGCTATTTTTCAATGAAAGAATTACAAGAAAATACACGTGACTTCACTCCATAACAAAAAATGGCTCATGTTTTTAAGTTTACCCGACCTAGCCTATATTATACATATTTTGAAAGCACTAGCAAATTCAAAATCTGTATTCTTATAGTCATTGCTTCCAAAACCCATGGAGTTAAATCTGTGTTCTCACAACCATTGCTTTCACTCTCTTTTCTTCTCAGTTCTTCTACATATGCTTCAAGCGGCCGTGTATTTTCTGCTTCTCCCCCTGCGTTATCTGGTTGCAATGTAAGAAAATTGAAGTGTAGAAGTCCACCATTGAAGGCCTTTCAAAGTTTTGCTTTCGAAAATAGGATTTTTTGAGTTTGTTAGTTGTTTGAATTGGGTATTGTTCCAATTGATTGAAAATATCAGAAGGAGTTAAAATTTTAAATTTGAAGTGATTTGGAGTAGATTTTAGCAAGCTTGGGTTAAATTTCAGAAAAGACGCAAGGAAGAAGACGATGTCAGTTTGTTGTATAATTATGTATAATAGTGTATATGAGTGTATAAACACTTCTTATACACTTTTATACACCTTTATACAAGCGTCTGTAGACGAACTTCTTCCACAATTTGCAGTTGCAATTCTTGTTCAAAACCAGTCCAAATCTCCATTATTGACTTCAAATTTTATATACAACCTCCTTATACTATTTCTAACAAGTCTAAATAATACCCACTCCAAATTTCTCATAAAATCAAATTCAGAATTTAAACCCACATATTTAAGCTTGTTAATAATCTAATTTTCACCACCCAAATGAATTTGGTTTGTTGGACTAATATTTGAGTTACAGTTACTGATTCGAAAATTAACTAAAAGCTTGAGCAATCTTTTTTAAGAATTGAATAGTAATTTCGAGAACCTATTGGAATTGGATGTTCGATCTTAGCCTATTATTTTTGGGTTAGTTAGTTGTAAATTGAAATATGGGCTATAAAATTGAAAAGTAGGGAACCCAATTGTTCTTATATTAAATTTTTCCTTTTTCAATAATTTACTTAACGCTGGCTATTTTTCGATTATCAGTCTGAAAACTGGCTAGCCCGTGCTATGTTCACCAAACTTTTGTATTTTATAAAAAAGCTCACCATCTATTATGACCCAACAAATCGACCAACTAATTACTTCATTTTCTTTTGGACTGATGGATCCTGTAATATTATTGCGATTTGACGAATTATACTGGCCAGTAATTGTGTAATTAGCAGTTGATATTAAAATATCAGGTTATGATTTTAGGATAGTGTATTATGCAGTTCATTATAAAAATAATAATTTTGTGCCAAACATATCTATGTTCAGGACTATGGTTTGTGATAATGATAATGACATCGATGAAGGTTCTTACATACAGGATTAGCAAGTTTGTTTGTTTGGTATGTATTCGGTATTTTTGATAGTTTTAGGACTTATGAGTATGAGTTACATTTCATGATTTTTCAAAAAAAAAAGTGAAATAATTTTTGAAAAATTATGTCCAAACAGATTTTCATCTTCAAATCAAACTTCACCTAAATCAGGTTTTTTAAAATAAATTTGGGAATCTATGACCAAACGCTAGCTTAAACTTTGGGGTTTAGAAATTTTGAAGAACTACAAAATTTCTATGACCAAGCATGGTTTAAAATTAGGGGTATTATCACTTTAGCCGGCGCTAGAAACTATTTACATTCGGGAGCCGAAAAAGTATAAAAAATTTGTATAATTATATATATATAGAGAGAGTTTGTACAAATATAGTTTTGTTTATATTTTATACAAAATATAAATAATTTTTCGATAATTTTTTTAAAGCGAATATACAATATCATTTTTCCTTTTTAACATTGTCCAGTGTAGTGTAAAGTTTTCTTTATTCGCAACGTGTAACGCATAGTTATATTTCCAAAACTTTTTAAAACGTGACAAAATATAGAGAATGGCCTCAAACGGGGCTATTTGTGTACTTGGATGCTTGGCCCAATTGTTTAGTTTTAAAGTGGATCGTGCTCATTGGATCACCTGAAAATCACAAAATAATTTGTGAAAATAATAACAGTTAACCAGGCTGCTATTTAAGAATTTGCCCGTACATCCTGAAATTCAGTTTTTTAGTCCAAATTTTCAGAACAAAAATGTCCTCAGTTTTCTTGTAATTAAAATTTTTAGTTTAAGATTCAGGACAAAATAAGTACGGATTAATCTCTAAATAGCATCCCTAAGACTGACTAATTGTGCACTTGCCCCAAATAATTCAAGCAGAGCTGCTTCAGCCACCTAAGTAGTTAGAATTATCATTTTCTTGCTGAATAAATAGTTTTTATTTACAAAGCTTTTTTGCGATAGTCAGGAGATGATTTCTTCACGCACCAATACACAGTAGTTCTTTTTCTACATGATACTATTATTATTTAGAGATTCAAATAACTTACAATTATTATCTAAATAAATGTATTTTTAGATTATTAAGGAATCAATTTCTGATTTTCACCGAAATTACAATAAATCCCCTTAAAAAGATTTAACTCTTACTTATTTGCTTAAATATTTTTTTGATGACAAGCTTTATTGTTGATCTTATTAACAGAATATAAACACACTTGGCCTCCTTTTCTGCTACGGTTGCGAATACAAATTCCGTAATAACTTATTAAAGTCCCTAAGATCCACTGAAGAAAACTTTTGACTATTTTAATTTTCATGGTTTCTAAGTCTCGTTAGTTTTTTGTTTTTTAAGATAAATTTTGCTCATCACAATCATTTCAATAGCAATCACTCGTTCTCTTGTGTTTGACCAAGACAAGTTTGTTGTACATATATAATTGTTCTTAAATCCATTAAAATATGCAACGGGATTGGTATATTTTCCCTTTAATAATTGACCAAACAATGATTGAGCGGTCTTTAATTCTTCGACAAACTTAAA